AAGAATTCAAAATTATTTTTGAACCATTCATAAATGCATGGTTATATGTTTATATGTGGACTTTGTCAAGCAGTATTTTAATTGCTAGGAGAACCTTGCAGTAGCTCCAAGACAAATTTGAATTACTATTGAATTAAAATAAAGTAGTACAGTGAAACCTGTAAATAAAGACCGATCAAGGGAAACATAAAAAGTGGTCTTTATAGGCAGGTGGTCTTTTTGTACAGGTGGTTTTTATGTACAGGTTCTTTTAGTACAGGTTTCAATGAAAAACCAGATGCAAGGGAAATAGAAAATGTGGTCTTTATAGAAAGGTGGTTTGACTGTTTTGCCTTTAGATGATTCTTATTTATCAATTGCTGTGCTGTTGTGCTGGAGCTTATTTTTGACACCTAGGTGCAAAATTGTTTGTCATTTTCATTAGGTAGCCTCAAAATAAGCTCACAATGCACACAAACCTCATGCACTTGATAATTCTACCTCTTCTACATGCATTCTTGCTATTTTACTCCACAGAATGAACTAGCTCTTTTGCATTCTGCCCAGAGTCAAAGATGAAAGGACAACTACAAGGGTATATAACTTGCCTACTTGCTCGTAAAAAATAACCAATTTACAAGAAGTCCTTAAAACCTTAGAGCAAAGCTTTCAAAGAAACGATATAAACTTGACCATTGTATCCTCCAACAATACGAGAAGATCTGACCACAATGTGCCCATTAGCGAAGCTTACCTTCTTCATTGTGTTCCACAACAAATTGGGGATTAGAGGTTTATAAAAGGATGGGAACTGAATTTGAAAGGAGGTTTTATGGTGGGGATTAAGTTCAAGTTCAAAGGGGGTACATAATGAAGGAGTGAGGCAAACAAGCTTATCAGAGTAGCAGATTAAGAATCTTGGGTTGTTGTTTAGTTTGCCTTTTCTTTCTCAGAATTAAGTTAACCACGATGACAGTCATCAAAATGTGCTCAAAATGTTTGCTCTGCAACTTAAAAAATTCTGGGTCATTTCCATTGGATTAAACACATTAAATGCAAGGGGCATTACTAGACCAGTTTTAAAGCAATTGAAAGGATGAATGGAAGGAAGGAACTTATTTCTGTGAAATTCCAATTTTTGGATACATCTGCTAATGACTCAATGCAACCCCATACGTTTCTCTCTGGCATCTCCAGGAAATAATATGTTAGTTGTTACAGATTATTTGCTCAATTTATATGTACTTGTACAACTCACTGAGTATATTGTAATGATTATACATGTACATAATAATAATAATAATAATAATACATTACATTTATAATGCGCTTCATACAATGTTTCTAAGCGCAAGAGAAAGAAGAAAGGATAAGGAAGGAAAAGTGAGAAACAGTACTAAAGAAACATGTTAAATACATTGAATTACAAGTAAACGGCAAAAAAGAATGTGACATTACACAAAAAAAGGACTGCATCAAAATTGATTGAAATATATAAATAAACCAGATATGAACATGTACATGGTACAAATAATTTTCCACACATGGGATAATTTAGTAGATGGAATATGTACTTTTTTCCCTTTCTTCTTCAAGTAAACAACACTCTACAAGACAGAGAACTATAATCCCTCTCAGTCCTGCTGTGTCGTACCAAAATACCTCATTACCCCATTTCCAAAAAAGGAGGGAAAATTAGTAAAGGGAATTTCTAACTATCTACAAGACAGGAAATTAACTATTACAGGTAAGTGTTGAGTTTGATTTTTCTCAAGAGGAGAAGGGTCAGTACAGATAGCGCTCCATGGCTTACCATATCAACTCATCAATCAAGAAGGATCCTTTCGTTATAAACAAGTTCGTGGCGGGATGCCATGTTTACAGGCCAGAGGTGATTGTTTTATTAACGCTTGGAAAAGATAGTCTTTTGCCACTGATTGATCTTGTTAGCCTGAATATAAAAGAACAAGTCTGAACAAATACATGTAAATATAAAATAAATAAGCATGTTGATTACTAGCTGTGTTTATTCCCTTCCTTTTCAAGCTTTAAAAGCTAAATAAGTCTTGCTTGTTATTGTTTTGTTTCGAATGTTTTTGAACAGTTTTGTTTTATAATACAAGAAACAAGAATCAAGATGTAAAACAGTCTCACTATTGACTGATTTTGTTATCCTGAATTAAAAAAAGAAAGTTTGAACAAATACATGTACATATAGAATAAATATGTATGTCGACTACTAAAGTACTATCTGTGTTTTTTTTTTCTTTCTTGTCTAAAAATTATCATTAAAAATCTGTGATTAAACAATGTTACAGCTATCAAAATTGCCTGTTTAGTTTTGTATTTGATCTGCTCTCTGTGCTTTGGTTGAGTGGAATTATATTGGGCAAGCAGTAGGCTAATAGCCATAACTACTGAATAGAGATTGACAACTTCAAAAAGTTTTTTTTTTTATGATGCAATAAACTTGAGCAGAACAGGAAAACAAATTTAGCACAAAAGATCACACACATCCTTGGATAGTGCATGTTTAAAAACAATCAGTGTTTGATGTTTGGATAAGAACACAATCTGGTTTATTTACCAGTGTTTGCTTTAGTAATTAAAACATGTACTGGATTAGATCTTTTCACCAGGATTAAAAAAAACCTGTCAAGCCAGGCATAGACCATCTGTGCTAAACGCCAAGTTACACATTTTTCAATCTCATGTTTTGAATAAGCGATTTCAGTAGCCAGAATGCAAATTATACATTAATTGTTGCTAAGCAGGACAAACATTATGGCTTGTCCTAAATGTACACAACAACACATACAAATGTCTACAATTCGCATTCCAACTATTGAAATACAACTATTCGTAACAGGTGAATTTGTGCACTAAACTGGATTACAAAAATGGCCTATTGAGTATTGACTTTTCCTTCTCTGCTACTTTAAAGGTACTATGTCCCATTTGTAGGCCCAAAAATGAAAAGGTTAAATTCCAACAGCATTTGAAAGATAATACTAATTTAGAACTTCCCTAAAAAAAAGGGGGAGCTTGAAAATGTTTTTAAGTTGGAAAATAATGACTAATAGTTGTCGAATTGACTTAGAAGCTATAGAGCCAATAAGTAATATTCTTGATTTTCAGACCATTGTACCGAATGGTCGTACAATTTATGCTGAGCAAAGATTTAATCAGTTTAATTTTGGCCATTACAAGAAGTGGGTTATTGATGCAGACAAATGCTCAGTACCCTTTACAGCTCATTTTATGTATGTTATTACCAAAGAAGATAAAAGGCCAGTCAGTCACTCAATAGTGTCTGACAGTGAAGTCTAGCAAGTAAACAAGTTTCCTTGCATAATTTGAATATTAGGACCCTGCTAACGTTTAAATTTCACAGATAGGACATACATGTACATGTCATATTCATAATTCCTGCAAAGTTCTACAGAATTTGTTGTTGGCTGCAAAAGGGACATAGTATCTTTAACATGAAGTGGTGGGCATCGTGTTTATCATTCATTACTGAAGTATAATATCTAAATTATTTTGAATTCAAGTCATGAATGTAACATTCATTTGTAGTGATATAGATTGTAATGTTGGCCAATTAAAAGCATTGCCTATTAATATCATCCTTTCTGGATCTTTACCTTCATAATTTAACAACCTATGACTGATTTTTGAAACAAACAGAAAATTGAAAATGAAAAAAAAAAAAAAAAATAATAATATTACAAGTATCCATAGCCTACGGAAACCAGAGGGGGGGGGGGGGGGATTTTGTACTATTAAGGCATTGTACACCTAGTACATGTTCATGAAAGGGCAACTGGAAAATGCACTCATATTTAGTATTTTGGTGATATGCACAAGACTCATATTCCCCAGGTCAGCGGCAGGGCTGTCTGAAAAAATCATAAAAAAGGGTCTCAAATTGGTTGAACAGCTATTATGCTCAAAAGATAAGACACATAAAATCAATTTTTAGGGAAACAACAATAAATCAGTGCTTGAAGCAAACAAATTTCATTGAATAGTCTCCAGTAGTAAATAAAAAACAACATCAATTTATTGAAATAACAAACAAAGCCTCAAAAACACTCATCCAGTCTTTAATAGTCCAGTGCACTTCTGCAAGTCGATACCTGTTTACCTTCATGCTGCCTAGTCTTTCAAGAGCTTGGGGGGGCTTAGAGGTTATTGTTTCCCCAAGAAGAAAAAAAAGGAGGTCCATTCAAAGAGGTTTATGTACAGGTGTTCAGCTATTCTCTGGCTCTAAAAACATTCACACAATGTGCTTGTATAGCTCATTGTGTACACTGTCCTTCAGAGTTTCGGTCAAGTTTTAGCACATGCTTGAGAAGACTATTGAAGCTATTGTTTTTTTAAGCTGTAGAGTGGGCCCTGGATTATCTTTTGTCTTCGACCACTACTTGTACATGTACAAGTATGTGCATGAGTATGTGAGTGATAAACAGTGATGAGTAGTAAAAGACATACAGTACTTAAAACAGAACATGTACAATTTTTTCTTCTTCAAGACATTAAATTCCATGAAACTTAGATATTTCATTTTAATCAAAAGATGTGCCAACTTGCAAGCAATCATAATTGACAACTGGACAAGTCCAACTCCGAGGACAAGTGGCACAGTGCCCCCCCCCCCCCCCCCCGTTTTTTCAAGTACCCTTTTTTACATAGTAAAGTGCCTCTTTTATTTTGTAAAAATGCCCCTTCCCCTTTTCACCTTTGATAAGAACCAATTCCTTTTACACGTGCCCTTTTTACGTCAAAAAGGTCCATTTTCCTTTGCAATAAATGTCCAATAGCTCACTCGCATTTATAGATGATATTATAAGGTGACTGGTCAAAGGCCTTTTCAGTCTTCCGTAATGAGAATGTGATTATAACTGTGTTCATCAGCTGTAGTCCCATATATCCCATCCTCGTCGCCAAATCTGTCGTGGGTGGGGGTTGGACCTTGCTAGGGACCGGTAGTATCAATGATGAGACAGGACAGCAGATTAAGGTCTATGAGGTTTTTTCTGTGTCGTAACAAAAAACCCTGTAAAGATACAGATAAAATCGGTGATAAATCACTTGTATCACATTACAGATTCAAATAATTCAATATCATCGTTGACATACATATTCAATATGCATGTATTGTATAAAAACCAAACAAACTTCTATAGTCATCGAATAATCATATATTGTTACAAACAATATATGTGTGTCTCGTACTTTAGTTAGAGATTCCTCATAATCAAATAATATTTATCTAAATATTCAAAGCATCTTAATCATCAAAGCATCTTAGTCATCAACCAGATATAAGACATGAATAAAATTACGCCTAACTCCATAAAGTGCAGTATCTTATCAAACCCTCTGATAAAGAATAAATTCATTTCCTCGATAAATCATCCTTTATAATATTATTTGAAAGCATTTACAAAACATGGTAAAACATTGATCAAATAGCTCACTGATTAAACATTGCATGATAAACATCAAAAGTTGCCTACCCAAGGTCAAACAAATGTCAAGCAACAAGCTGCAACAACCAGACTGCAAACTCCACAGTCACTCACTACCCGTCATATCACTGCTACGAGCAGAAATGCAGTCATCACCTACATGTAGGCCTGGACCAGCTGTAGTCCCATATCTCCCAGCTGTAAATGAAAAGTCAATACACCCGTAACCATAGAAACCTACATTGAAAATACACTAAGTATTACATGTATACAATGTAACATGTTATCTACGGAAAAACTCTATCAAGATTCAATATCTATGATTATATTACAAAAACACACTCTCATACCATAAGTCGGTATCTACGATTCATGGGCGCCGCCATCTTGGTATACAAAATGCTGCCCTCTACGTTCATAACTACAAAAACTAACTGAGTTGATAATTCTCTTCAACTACTAAAAACAAGCAAGTTTCTGCACTTGTTATTATTAAACATGAAATAATTAACAAAGCAAATACAACAGTGATTTCACTGTCTATTCTCAATCTCAACAAATATCATTTGCAATTTCACTGATAGCTATGAACTCGTTACAACGAAAGACGTTTCATAAACGTTTACACATGACATAGAAATTGTGGCAAAAAGTCATCCATGCACTCCAATTAACCAAATGCAAAATACTATACAAACTCTATTCCGAATCCTAAGTAACTTCTTAATGTCTCAATTAAGATTAAAATACATTTACAAGTATAAATTCACATACCCGAAGAATCTCCAAAACCAGAGCTTGCCCGACCTAGAACACGTCCGTGCATGTGGATGCTCAATTGGTGTCTGAGCTAACCACACCCAAGATAGAACTACTCGCCCATGCCGCGTACGTACGTACGTACGTTAACATACGGACTAATTCATGCATACAATAAAAAAAGGAATGTCACTGCCACTTGGCCTAATGTCATTACGCAATCTAGCGTATAACGGAACTAAACACCTGACTCAGCTATGCAGGTCACATCATACTATGGAAAAGGAATTTTCCAAGTGAAAAAACATCCGATCTAACCTCGATCCGTAACACTTAATTGAAAGCAGAATATAAATTTGCTTTAAACTTAAACATCATAAAATAAAGACTTTCACAAATTTCCAACTTCCGACATAACCCCATCAGGCTTGGGTTCCTACCTCTTTGTATAAGATGTAATTTTTTCACACTGCGACCTCGAAAATCTTTACATTTTTCCTAGCTTGCTCCCTTTGCTTTATCGCAAATGAATATTCAGACCATCAAACCAAACTGCAAAGTATGATGCTGAAACAATATATTATATGACTATGACGTATAAAGAGCAAAAATATTGAAATCATATACCAGTGTCTAAAATATTGTATTTTCACTTTGAGATTTTGCCTGTATATTAGGTGCCCTTTTTTGTTGGTGTCCCCCCCCCCCCCCCCCACTTTAGAATTCACTCCGCCGCATCTGCTTTAGATTATTCTGTTTTTCCTTTTAAAGTCTTCAGTTCCTTAACCCTTGGCATCTTGCTCTTTATCATGTTCAATGTAGATGTAAAACGTGCTTATTTTACTGCCAAATGGAAACCATGTGATCAGACTCCCCTTTAATAGTCAAACTCGGTATAACTCGCCCTACTCGCGCAAACCTCAAGATTAGCTCACCAGAGACTCGGTGCACTCGTGCAGAATTCTCAAATGCTCGCATTAGTTGTGCGGGAACTCGTGCATGAAAATTTATGGAAATTTACTCCGGACACTACGAGTTGAAAAGAGTCTATGAGGAGTTTTTCTCGAGTATTGCGAGTTTACTACCAGTTGTTCAAAGTTTCATCAAGGTGTTCAGGAGTTCTAGAGAGCTTGAAAAATTTGCAAACTGTTTGAAAATTTTGAGAGCTACCATACTACAACCTCACGCAAATTTCGCCGAGTTTCGGAGAGTCATCCCGAGTTAAATGAAAAGTTATCACATTCACAATACCCCCAAAAGTCAACTCGCCACTAGATCTACTCGCACAAACTCGTACTTCCAACTTGCCTATGTTTGAACGTAGCATTACAGTCAGCTTCTGAAAATTTTCTATGTGAAAAAATTTGCAGCCTGAAAAATGAAAATGTTAACTCTTGTTGACTTGTACTGTTGTAGCCTAGGCCTAGTTCATAGTTGTACTGTACTCTGGACTGTAGGTTGACTTTACTTCAGTCATTTACGGCAACATTAAACAACAATACTCAATAGATCCAAATTTCAAAGTTAGTCTACTCTAAATTATGTATAGGCCTATATATCGATTATGTCTTTACTACGTCTCTAGAGAAGTAATAGTACTTATAGTATTACCACATAAATGTACTAGATCTAGTCCATGCCTACTGACACTGTTCTAACTTCTACTTCTACTTTCTAGACTAGACTACTAGGCTAGTACAAGCGCTAGCTACTTCAATAGTACTTCTAACTAAGTTCTAAGTTCTACTTTTCTAAATTAATTACCTACCTGGGACCGACAAGAACACTGGACTGAACTCGAGGTAGCCTCAACAGTCGTTTGTCTGTGACAGGCTGCGTAAAGGCGTCTGGAAATGATAATTTCTCAACCAGTATTGAAGTAAACTCATCCATTTTCATAATAATACTAGAAAACAAAATACGCAGTCACATGCACGTGCACAAGCGGTATCATGTGATCGGTCGATTGTGATCGGCGCATTGCCGGGGAATCCCCCCAAACTCTTGTTATTCTACGTGCCCAATGATTTTGAAAATATTTAAGAAAGAGAGAAAAAAAAGAAAAAAGAAAAGAAGAGAGTGAATAAGAAACAATTACTTTCTTGTTGCGTATTACCTGTTGTATTATTCCCAATCGCAGCTCCTTGGAAGCAATATCGACTCTTTTGTTGTTCATTGAATCATAAAATCATACATAGGTCTATATCATAAATTGATTTTGTTATAATTGTAGGCCTTTACTACATGTATAGGCCTACAATTAACAAAATCAATTTTTGATTTACATTATCTAGAAAATGTATTATTTGTATAATGAACAGAATATTGATATTTGAATTGAATATGTATAAAATTATATACATAAGGAAACAATAATAATGTAAAGTTGCGAGCAAAAAACATTTGTCATATTTTTTCTTTATTAATGCCGTTTTAACGACAATAATTTGACGATTATTGCAACATTTCCTCACAGGAAAATGCCCATTGCCCCTCCATCATCCCTTCCAACCGAACCCCCCCCCCCCCCCCCCACCACCACTCCCACGCTGCATGGTGATCTCTTATTACATCAAACCAAAATTGGACCAATTACTTCAGATTACTCTATTTTTTTCTTTATGGGTAAAACTGACCGGAAATCATTTAATCGCTGTAATCCGACAGGTGTGCGAATGATAGGCGCGCGCTTTTGCCAATATGAAAGCTTTTGTAAGGTCATGACGCGTGTGCTACATTAACTGTAAACAAACTTTTCCCGCGCAAATCTAGCTTTGTAGCAGGGTCAGTTCTCGCACGTGCGCGTGCCGACATGCAGCAGGCGTGGACCCTGGGACCGCAGCAGCGCGCGAAGCACCAGCTCTCAAGAATACTAGTTTGATCCTTTGTCTCTGATTATATGCATGCTTCGTTTAGTGTCCATAATATGGGCGAAAACTGATCAACCGAAAGGAAAGAGTGTTACGGATGGAGAGAAAGGAATCAGCAGTCAAAGAAACATCTGCTTGTCTGTTTAGTGTTTACGCTTGTTGTGAAATGAATACCAGTCTTTCCTTTGCGGTAGAGAATGAATTGTATTCCAAAGGCAATTTATTTGCATAACCTGTTCGATGTACATCATCGACATCATGAAGTTGTAGAAATGACAAGAAAGCGCGCGCAAAAATTACAGCTAGGAAGCATACGGTATACAGCGCGGTGTACAGCTAGCTCAGCTCGTCATATACATAGCCAACGAGCACATTTCCTTTTTCCAGGGCTCAAATCGTAAAAACGGCGCGTGTCTATTTTTAGCTCAGCTAGCAGGGTCAAAGTAACGTTCGTTTTATGTCAACAGACAGAAGACAGCGAGCGGAGTGACTCATGCAGACAAAGGATGTTTCATATAATATAAGTGTTGTACGTGAACGTGCAGCGTGTTCCAGTGCAAACCATGAATTCTTTTTCTTTGCCAATTTTAAATCGTTCTGCATTTTATCATATTCTTTGCTTTTTTAATCTACTGGAGACTGGAACGAGAGAGTTTGTGTGAGAGTACATTTCTATTGTGGAACTCATTAGAAATGTTGTTATGCACAAGAAAGCACCTAAACAAATATTTCACCTATTTTATGGGCAAAGTCGGTTTCATACGATTAAAAAAATGGGCATATTTATTCATCTGTACACTATATATTTCGATAGGAGCCCACGTATTTTTTAATCAATCATATTACAATTTGTTTGTAATTAACTAAGATTAAGAACACGTTGCTGAACATGACCCTACGTCAAAACAGACTTTATTTTGGCACTATCATAGAAGGTAAACAAATCATGGCAAGCAGGACAAAAAATTGGGCAAACGATAAATGTTAAATTGTTGAATCAATCTCATTCCGGAGTTTGAAAATGATGGAGGCGTCCTGCAAATAAAGAATATAAAACAAAGGTATCCCCTTTCAAAAATATTCTTATGAAATGACACATTCGAGAAAATAATACACTGGTCACTGGCAGTGATTCAACGTGAATCACACGATTGGGTAAATGTTGAACGAACAAAGAGTAAAGCAAAAAAAACGTATATGAGTCGTACATAAACAGCGTGGGTTTTCGAACAAAGAGCCTCCACACACATGCCACTATCTCGAAAATATTGGCGCGCTTTAGTCACTGACTGTTGTTAGTTCGTTCCATGCTGGTTATCAGATCGGAATGTTTGTTCGCCATGCATGCTAATGAACCACTCCCTTATCTGAGGAAACCGACCAATCAGGTGATCCGTTACAAAGGGAAGGCGGTGCTTACGGCTGAGGAACGTGGATTATAGTACGTCACTTCTACACACTACCGCGCCGCATCGAGCATGCATTTTCAATGTGCATGCCATTCGAAGACCCCGCCTGAGACGAATACTACGGATATATACTACCGTGTGGAGATATAGTTTCTGATAAATACGCTGGACAACCTCATGGTTTCTCATAATTTTTCTACCTCTTGATTTGGATATAGCATTATACTAGAATGCCAAGCACACTTTTCACCGAAATGGATCATAATACTGATGGGTTGGAGGACCATCAAAGGGCCCTTCAGTCGTTAGCCTATAATTTGTCCATGCTCGGAATAAGCAACGAAGACGATGGCCCATCAGCTTTGGATGATAGGGGAAGGAAAAGCAGTAATATGACGGAATGTGTCCCCGTACCAAGTTCGGAACATGTTGCGGAAATTGTTGGTCGACAAGGTACGATCTTCAGGATATAACCTACATGTCCTCTTACATAGTGAAAAGTCCATGTTTTGTTTTGTTATTGAAGTATTCTGTACCACTTTGTGATTTTTATGTCTTACTCATTTGCCAGGCCGTTATGTGCATGAGAAAATTCAGCACAACGTGTTTTACGTGCACGGGCCTTTGTTTGTCACATTCGCGCGCTTGGCCGCCTCGTGCTACATGCGTTGTACTCACACCACACAAAGCACTGTTTGTCAATGTACATGCAAAGTCTATGCCCATGCATTCCATGTGCTCTCAAAATCTTCCTCGTGTATTTCTCAAAGTGTGGGAGCTCTTGTATAAGATGATAATTAAATGTTAACTGTATTTTTAAATAGCTTAACTACCATTTGGCATTTCTTTATTTTATTTTATTTATCAACATCTTTCTTTTTTTCAGATAGCTTTCCATTTTCCTTCTCTTTTTTGTTTGGGGATGGGGGGATTCAATTTCAAAATGTTCTTTCACTAAAACTAAAGGAATTAAGGTTGCATCTTCTTTAACTAAGATGGTAAGAACTAGGAATTTAATTAGTTAAGCTACTGTAAACATAAAAAGGCTGTTAGTCTATTTACATAATACATGTTCCTTGAACTTGGATTTTGTTGAAGCTTGGTTTGGACTTTGGATTTCTTTTTTTAAATTTTTTTTACTGACATTAGTGATATGAATTTTTGAAGGTTAATAATAAGACTGACATGTCTTTTCATTTGATAGATGTAGAGATCTACACAGGCATTTATCTTCACATTGTTCACTTGTTAAAAGTGAGGTAGATTTTGATAATTGATAATAATAATAGAAGGACCCTCATTTCAAGCATTGGAAATAATTTAAATATTGGTTCATTCAAATCAATTCAAAGAAACAACCATTAGAAAGATGCAGTGTGGTAAAGAAAGGAAATAAAGATTGCCCAGCTCAACTTTCTGAAATAACAAATTGAAAGGCAAGTGACAAACACTAAATTTGCATCCAAGTCGTATGTACACCTCACTCATTAGCAAGAGGAAGTCTGTTACATTTACAATTTTTTTATCAATTCTGTAAGGCGGGACTTTGCATTGGCCATTGTGTGTTTCAGATGTTTCTTAAATCATTACAAAAATACAAGTCCTTCAATCTTTTTTCTGTAGATCTAGACCTAGATCTAAATCTAGTCTAGAAGTCTACACTTAGTTAAGGAAACGACAAGTTGACAACTAGTCTGCTTTGCAATGTACACTGTCTGTTAAGAAATACAGTGTAGATCTACATGTGATTGTAATTATAAAATACAAATTCTGGTTAGATAGGTGAGTGTTGGACACATAGTTGTCATTGATATATGAATATCAGAGTAAGCAGTCTTGATATTTGCTGGTGAATTTTTTTATGGAGAAAAGGAACATGATTGAGCTTAAGTTTATGAAAGAGCTGTAAAAAGACTTGGTGGGAATTTAGAAAGAAAAGACAGGTTGCCTTTAAATAACTTGGTTGTCATGTAGTATTTCTTAGTAGGCCTAGTGTAAACCAACAAAAATAAACGTCTTTATCCACTGAAAAATCATTTGTCATCCTGTTGCTTAGTGCGTCCATTGCATCATAGCCAGACCTCTGGTCAAGTCGGATAAATTGTCTTTGAAATGACATCCTGATGCCTGTGCTGAAACTGATTAAATATCCTGTTCAAGTTCTGGCAATTAATCAAATGTATACGCCCTGTTTTCTTTTTTGGTACATTCGTAATGCAGAGAGCATTATTTTAAATTAAGGTTTTATGGGGAAGTATTCAAACCTAAGTACAAATAGTTGCTGTATTTGCATGTGGTCAATGGTTTTATCAGTTGAGAAACCTGCAATGCAAATGAAGAAAGAAAAATGCAGGTTGCAACATTCCTCTCTCTAATCACTTTGTGAAACCAATTTGGATGATGTACATGTAAGGTTTCTCATGCACTCGCCACAAAAAAAAAATGATTGCATTTTACTCATGATGAATCAGAGAGATTGTTTTAGATTCAACAACCATGCAAGCCTGAAAATCAATAATTCTCTACCACTCTAATTCAGGGCCAGAAATAAATTTAGATCACAGATTTTGACTAGCATTACGGGTACATTTTATCAAGGTTGGCAAGAAAATATGAAGGCTACTTTTTAAATTGTTTTTATGCTCATTTTTCATCGCATCAAAATTAAAAGTTTGATATGTTGGTGTGTACAAGCTGATGAGGTCTTACAGCATCTTAACAAAAGACTGGACGTTGTCTCCTCTTGGTTTATCTGGCTGACATGAGGGAAAAAGATTGTTCGGTGTCTGTAAAGTCTTTATTTTGTTTGGTACAAATTTACCTCAAATTGTACAAGTTCTTGCTTCTTAGTTGTGTAGGGAGAAAGTCATCCATTTTGACAGACAATTGAACACTACATTTTCACCCAATTGGGAAATGCCTGTTAATTCCATTAGTGGCAAATTTAAATAAGCTTTCAGAGTATTTTATGGTACATGTACATGTACCTGTATTATCTACAGTTCATCCCTGAAACTGAAAGGCTCTTTTCAGTATAATGTACATAGTGGGAATCGGTTTCTCGTTCATCACAATTGGTATTTTATGATCAAAGGTTTCTCTGCTTCACCAAGCATGCATTTACACAATACATTTCTACACAAATGTGTGGGCAATGGTGCATGCATGAGTTGATGGCAAACACTGCAGAATGAATTGTAAATACAATATACATTGTATACACCCACTCCAATGAATTAAATTCACAGGAGTGGAGATAGAATGGGAAATCCCTATTTCTTTATGTCTTTGTTTGACAGAATTCTAATCAATTTTTGTTACATTCTCTTTCTCTTCCAAACTTGCAGGTTGCAAAATCAAAGCTCTGAGAGCGAAAACCAACACCTACATCAAGACGCCCGTGCGTGGCGAGGAACCGGTTTTCGTTGTCACAGGCAGGAAGGAAGATGTCGCTGCAGCCAAGAGGGAAATTTTACAGGCGGCAGAGCACTTCAGCCAAATCCGAGCAAGGCGCAACCAGGGTCACTCGGGAGTTCCCCCAGGTCCACCCCCACCCAACATCCCCGGGCAGACGACGATTCAGGTGCGAGTGCCCTACAGGGTGGTCGGTTTGGTCGTGGGGCCAAAGGGAGCTACCATCAAGAGGATACAGCAGCAGACCAACACGTACATCGTCACACCAAGCAGGGATAATGAGCCCGTGTTTGAAGTGACTGGACTACCCGATAGCGTTGATCAAGCGAGGCAGGAGATTGAAGCTCATATTGCCATGCGCACTGGAGGTTTGATTGATTCAACGAGTCCAGAGGATGATTTCGCCAACAACGGTACCGACAGGGGAATGGTCGATGACATCAGTCTGTACAAGACTGGTCCAAGTCCGTTTGCTCAACCGGTCGGTGGTGCTAAGCCCATGATACAGAGGAGCAGCAGCGATAACTACTTCTTCCCCACCACCAACATCACCACAACATCATCAACGTCAACAACCACAACAAATGGTACCACAGAGTTCAACCCTCTTGCCAACTCCTTCACCTCAACAGCAAGGTCCGCTTATAACCTGTTCAACGGTTCGTCACCAGAGTTGGGCATGGATTCCCAAGCATATGAAGGTCCTTTGCCAGCCACTGGAATCCCCACCCAGCAGCAGCTCTCGATGTGGCAGGACCTGACGGGGGTCAATGCTGCCTTTGGGATGCCTCAGACGCACGTCAGGCGCAGCAGCAGCATCAGCTCCGGGAGCAACGAGCCGGCCGTCAACGGGATCAACGATCATCCACCAGCGAGGCGCATCCGCAGTGATCCCTTGAACGGTGGGCTATCGGTACTTCCAACGCCCCTGCCTTCCGCCTTCCCCGTCACGTCGTCGAGCAGCACATGCAGCAGCCCGACTGACTCCATCGGCTCTGGGTCCCTCTCGGCGCAGAAGAAGCAGTGTATGGTTTGCAGCGACAATGAAATTGTTGCTGCCCTGGTGCCATGTGGCCACAATCTCTTCTGCATGGAATGTGCCAACTCATTGATCAACAAGGAAAACGCTCCCTGTCCAATGTGCCATGAGCCCGTCACTCAAGCCATTCGTATCCAGTTCACGTAGGAATACGCCCCTAGATACATCTGGCTATAACCCCCCTCAAAATGTACACATTCTTGTTGAGTTTTCAACATAAATCTATATAAAGTACTCCCCTTATGAAGAGATATTTTTTCATATGAATTTTGTTATATTTCTAATTTTTAGAGGTCAACATTTTTGTCTATTTGAGTTGTGAGTGAAAGAGAGTGTTTCTTATAAAAATGCAAATATTCATTTTTTTATTTCATGTGTATTGTGATATGTAGTAGAAGAGATTATGAAGGACATCAAGTATTTTATTCATCATACAATAATAAAAGATTCTATTTGATACAATATGTCTACAGAATAAAGGTCTTATTTAATTTGAATTTATCTGCTGGATGTACATTGTTAGAGCTTTATTTAAGAGAGAAAGCATTTGGCTTGTACAGTATACCTATTCATACAAATGAAGAGTATTAAACGAGAGTTTTCATTCTATCGCATATGTGACGAGTAACCATGACACTTTCAGTTATAAAGACAAAGAGAGAACCATGGAGATAATGAAATATATCTAAGTATTACTTCAAGTATATTTTACCCTGTTGATATTTTAAAGCGCTGTGACAATAGAGGTTATTTTTATTCTATTCGTATTGGTGGGACTGGAACCCATTATTTAGGTGCCCGTGCCAATAGGCCATGCATATATCCTGCATACTCTTTATTATTATATTTGTACAAAAAAGTAAAAGATACTGTTCATATTGTAATTTATGTTGCACCTCATTTTAGTGTTTTTTTATTTTTAATATATTTCAAAGCAGTTATGTATACATGTATATGTAGCATTGCTATATTTGACCAAATATTCCAATGGATTTGATGTCTAACTGAAAATATGGACGAAGAGATATCTCAATTTATTTTCCATGTAAACCCAACCTGCATTCAGCCAAAACATGTATTTCAGATGAAAAATAGAAAAATACATAAAAAATAAAGAGAGTTTTATTTTTTGTCAAAAAAAGTCTAATGTATAATTGATATGTTGCCGAGAAGTGATTGTGTGCTGGTTTTTTGTACTTTGAGCTTTTTTTTTTATGTTAGGAAAAAAAATCAGATCCTTCGGATTTGAATTTTTTTGTCTCGATGTTGACCAGTTTTTTGCCAAGTTTACAGATGTTATGACAAAGAAATGATATAATTATATATTAAGATATAGACTTATGATGAGATGAAATTTTGCTATTTTTGTAGTTAAAACAAATTAGGGTTGATTCCTCTTACGAAATCTCTGAAGAAGAAGAAGAAAAATTTGCTGCAAATGTAAAGATTTAATAACTTTCCTGTACATGATACAAATCATTGATATGATGACTGAATATAGGAATGTTGATTAGTGCACTGTCTTTATTTGTTATCTGAGCCAACTCCTTTTGTGTTAGTAGATGGAAATAAAATTTCAACCACCACCATCATCTCTGTAATATTGAGCCCATCAGTGTCTTATATGACCAATCAATAACCTCGATACATTTTTATTTTTGCTAATAGCCCTATGCCGCGTATACATGGACATAACTCACTTTGTACTCGTACCAGCTCTCGTTCTGAGGAAAGAAGAAGAAGAAGAAGATAATATTGAAGTTTTTATTAACTCTTGTGTCACCTTGTCAAAGTCTTTGTGTGCGAATCGTGTGGTGTATGTGTTATGTGTCCAAAACTACAGATTTATTGTACAAGAAAATAATTATTTGTGACCAAACTGTGATGTGTATTTACGTGTATTATACTGTAAATGTTATTTTTGTTATATTATTATAAATACAGAAAATGCAATCAGTAGAAGTAAACAAAAGAAATGGACAAAAAATGAAGGAAGACAGATTTTTTTTTCTTTCCAAGATATTCTTCATGGGAATTTAAAAAAGTCTGGACCAAGTACATTTTTGTGCATGCTTACCATCACTCTCAAAAAGGTGCAAATTGTGAAATAAGCCTCTAGGTTTTGTTTCGTTAGGAATTACTACACTAGTATACAGTACTTTCCGGGCATGTTTTATGCAGTTGTAAACATCACTTCAAATATGTATGTTACATGTTATAGACTAGACCCTGTGTCCTTGCCCGTATATCATATAGGCCTATCACTCAAGTAAAAGTGCTATTTTTGTTTGAAATAAAAAGTTAATTGTTAGTATTTAGTACCTCCTTTCTACCAGAAATCAGTATTTTTTTATTATCCTTTTCCATTTTTTCTTATGTATAATTCTGAGGAAAATTTAAGTAATCAGTAGAGCTGAACATATTTTGTTTAGTTAATCTATGCAAACAAATAATGCCAGTTTTTTCTTAACAAGGTTTTGCATATTGTCTGAATATTTTAATTGTATTTTTCAAAGTGATAATCATTACAGAGTAAACTTTCATAGTAACGTTTGATACTCAAAGTATGATCATTTAGCCAAATAATTATTCAATTATAGAAATATGACTAGTAATCAAATTATATAGTATTTATGGAAGAAAATCTACCCAGTACTGTTTATGAACGATGACTATAAAAGACTACGTAAGATTTGCAACATTTAGCGTGACTGTTATTATCATGTGCATTACGAGTTGTATCAAGCAAACCCACTGACAAAAAGAGGTTATTTTTTCTCTCCTGAGAAATTCATGTGAATTTGTTAGGAAAGATGAAATTGTTTCATGGTCTCATATCCGACAAACATCACTCTTGCACAAAAGTCATTTTTGGATGAAATGATATTTCTTCAAACAAAGTTTTTTCAGTGTTGTATCACCTTTTTTAACCTGTTCATGCAAAGAATTCCAGAGAAAGAATTTAAAAGTTGTGTTCAAGCAATAAAAAGCTTAAATTTGTTCAGAAACTATGCATTCCAAAGTTCTATTTATCAGATTCCGAGGTGTGTCCAGTTGAGAGATGAGTTGTTGTTGTAAATGAAGAGACTCGAGAGTAAGAGTTGGCCTACCATTACAGTTGGCCCATGCACAGTGAATGTGAGTTATTTGAGAGGAATGCCAAGTGTGCAAGCAAAAGAGATGTAAATGTAAATATAAAATACTTCCAAATCTACACAGTGGTTTCCCCCAATTTAATTTTCATATTCATCCAATCATCCCTTTTCACGAACCTTGCCAATAGACCAGTTTACTAACATATTCAAATTGTAGGCATACTTTTTAAACAAAGGTTGTTCTGGACAACCTGAAAGCTTGCCAGATATAGCAACAAAAATGTATGCAGACTGAATTCCTTCCTAGTATTATACATGTAGCTCATTGAGAAGAGATTAATGTAATAACTCGACACTAGGTCTCAAAGAAAGAAACATCCATAAATGGGAATATGTCGGTAAACCGGTCTATTGAAAGAGACTTTTGGAATAACCACATCTTCGAAAATAACCATTTTCATATCAGGATGATAAAAATATCTTTTCAGACATGTGGAAGAATTCTGGAATGAATGCTGATGGCCATAATGTGCATAGCTTGTGTATATTTGATTGATTGATTGATCGAAATGTAGGGAATGAATCATTCTTTGAAATGATTATTTCGTTGTTGTTGTTGATGCAAGTGGAGACATCAGATTCATGAGCTAAAGAGTGAAAGTTGCGAGAGAAAGAGGACAAATAAAAAGTAATGAATTCTGCAGTCAACATCACTGTGACTGGAATCTTTATTGGTATTAAATACGATTATTATGCCCATGTACAACATGGTTGTATCATTGCATGGATATTTAGGGAAAAGCATCCCCTATTTGATGTGTACACAAAATTACTACTGTTTCCATTCTCGTATCTCTGTGAGGATTACATTTACATGTACATCCGGGGACGCTAGTGCATGTTGTGTTCATGTACGTTAAGATATTTTGTTCATATTGGGGGGATTGATCCTTATCTGGCAAACTTGTAAACTGATGATTTCATATTCATTTCTCATCAGTGATCTTGAAAAGGAAAGGAAAAAGTTTCAGATATGAATGATTCAATTCATCTTTATTTTATGTAGACCTCCATTTTGATATCTACATTCTGAGTTATTCAAATGATTCAAAGTCCTTTTCAAAAATTAAAAAAAAAATAATCTGATGGCATCATCTCCTCTAACACATGTTTTTTCAAGTATAGTGTACAAAAAGGAAGTTTGTTTTTTCTTTTCCTAAACATACATGTGCCTACTGCATACTGCATGGAGAAGATTTGACATTATACAATTCAAAGTTTTTTCCATCAAAGACATACCAAACCGTTGTTTGTTACAAATATCTAAAAAATAATGTGAAATAACAATATTTTCATGGCAGACGTGTCCAAAGTGAAATCAACCCTTTATCGTAATCGATGCTTCTCTATCCATTCAGGAAGTGATTATTTTGTTTGTGAGGTGACAAAATTCCTTCATTATCATTCTGAATGTCATTTCTTACAAGCTGAGACTGCTAAGTGATAAACAAAATATTTGAATAGTAGAATAGACTTTGACCATTTGCACTGGACCTTGGTCAACAGAATTCAGAGGACGAAGGCTGAAGGCTTGTGACGTCAACTTGTGAGTAATAGATAACATATCCTAAACAAAACAAAACTAGTTAAAGGTTAGCTTTAATGCTGCCTGCTGTGTCCTGTGTCATTAAATATATAGTTTTAAAAAGATTTACATTGTCAATGCCAAATTGAGGTAGTAGGGACAAGGGGAAAGGAAAGGAAAACAAAAATCCTACAAAAAGGCCTATACTATAGCGAACAAGTGCAATTTCGTAGACTGCATGGGAGCGAATATCAAAAGCAAACTCTTCAAAAAGAGATGTTAAAAGGAGTTTTGATATTAGGAAAAATGATAATGAAATTGTAATTGTTTGATAATGTGTGCTTGTTAAATTGTTAATTAAGTCAGCTCATAATTTGTGGGTTTTTTTTTTGGTATTAAAATGCGATTTGATGGCCATGAAAATTTGGCAGCATATGTCATCTTGAGAGGAAAAATAGGAAATTATTTGTGGAAACTGGTAAAGAAAGCCGATTACTTTGAATGGGAGAAATACTTGATGGAAATATAAGCTGATAAATCAATTTCCATGAATACCCAGTAATGTATTTATGTCTTTCGACATCGATAAGCCTAGACTCTAATTAATTTCTGAATACTCAGGGACTTGTCTGTTGAGGCAATGAAACCTACCAACAAACGATTCTTGTAAACAAATTTTTAAACCGAGCTATTTGGTATTAACTACATGTAAATACATCGTGTGTACAATTGTATTCAATTATTTTGGCAGGGAACTCAAAATGGGAGCAAAACTACTAGTCAAAAGGAGGGAGGCACAGTGAACTATTTCCTACCCCAATTTTATAGCAAATCTCTCTCTCTCTCTTTGTCCATGTGCACACTGCACAGCTTGTTCTATACCAAGAGGTTATTTTCTTCGCTTTCTTTTTCTTTTCACCCTCCTTTTCCTGGCTTTTATTTATCACCAGCTCGATTCTGCCAACAAAGGGGGAATTTCCTTTATTCCTTTCAAGAGGGGTTTAGTGATTACGGAGAAATGGTGAGCGCGGGAGAAAAGGAAGGTATTGCAAAGAGAGGAGAGGTTAAAATCTTAGAAGAGTGAAAAATACACTGATGTTTGAGGAACAGGCCATGTGGTGGTGGTTGGTGCTGGCAGACAAAGGGCGCCAAATCCCTACTCTCTCTCTCTTTCTCTCCCCTTCTCCGTTCATGGCTCAGCCACTCAGGAGGCTAACAAAGGCGAGCTTTCCCTCTTTGTCCTCATCCATGCGGCCAGCACATATGCACATGCTCGTCGATGGCTGAATAATGCAACCATTAAATTGGCAGCACTATGTGGCAGAGAGCTTGTCGAACAAAGACCTCAAACTTGTGCTCCCTCCAAAAAGTCTATATATGTTTACACAAAGAGATTGAAAAGAGGCAGAGACAGAGACAGAGAGAGAGAGAGAGAGAGAGAGAGAGAGAATGAGAGTGGGAGAGAAAGAGAGAGAGAAAAAAAGAGAGGCAGAGACAGATAGAGAATGAGAATGGGAGAGAAAGAGAACGAGAACGAGATAGTGAGAGAGAGAGAGAGAGAGAGAGAGGGAGGGAGAGAGAGAGAGGTGGATGGAGAGAAAGGGAAAAGAAAACACTATTGGTTGCAAAGCAATTAATGGTCCTCAGTTGAATCCAGCTAGCTTGAATGCAAATATGAAATGTAATGCCTTACTGTACGGCTGCACAAAGGAATATCTAACCGTTTTTATTTTCTCCAAACAGTTCAGGGTTATTCAAATAGCATGTTGTGTGTGGCCTTTGTTCTCTGGACATTGGTTTTCCACTCCCCTTCTGGCTGAAGATCTAATTCTAAAATCAAGGTGAAGGCCAATATTGCTTATTAAAGTTATCACTTCAACCCACATTTTCCAATTTCCAAGAATATGATTTTCCTATTGAACTGTTTTCAGCTTTCATTTTTCATCTCACTTCAATTTTCATGGAGTATACTATACACAAGCATAAATCTGAATCTTTCTCTAAATAAAGATTCTCTAAAAGATTTACAAATCCCTTTCTCTCATCATTTTCTCATGTTTTCATCTCCTTGAGGTCTCCATAAAGCTTTTACCTTCAATTATTAATAACAATATACATTTAGTGCAAAACTAATAGTAATACAAAAAGAACCATCATAAAAATGAGTTTTAAAAAGCGATTGCACATCATTGCACATCATCAGGAAAAGAAAGAATAAATTGGCAATAACAAGGCCTGTATGATGCAATTAGTGAACTGAAATGCATCTGTGTTATCTATCAACATTATCAATTAGTGCTAGAATATTCGAAGCTGGAAGATAGTCTTGCATGAACAGACACTGCTCCCTACAATTTTTTTGAGAGAAGATATAAACAAATGGTTTTGCATTCTGCATTCTGTTTCATTTTTCCATGTCCATGTAATGTGTTAGTGTTTGCATTTGAAGTTTGGAATGATATATTTCAACAGCATTGCAACATTCTATTTTTATAGTAAGTTGGATTAGATTCAAACCCTAAAAATATAACATTAACGGATATAAAGATGATGGGAGATTGTTACGAGTGTCATACAACTATCTATGTACTATACAGTGACAGTCATATCACAAATATACCTGAATTTAATTCCATATTTTGATTTTTATGTCAGATTGTCAGTCACCATTTTGCAACCCAAGCTTGTGTTTCAATTTCATCTCAGGACATAGCCAGGTAGACTTTACAGATATAGCATTTTATTCCTTTTTTTTTTAAAGTACATTTTGGTTATATTATAGTGTAAGACTGTAAGGTCTATTGGAATGGAATTTTGAAAAAATGGAATAATCTTTGATGATCATTTAACTGTATTCATGACCATTTAGGAAAGGGAGTCCTCTCCCTCCTTCTCTTGTTCCCTTCATACTACCCCCCCCCCCCCCCGGCCCCCTTCCCCACCCAAACAAAGTGTGGAATTTTAACCAGGTATGGTTTGGAGACTAATTTTCAATTTGCCCCCTCCACTTTGTGTGTTGTGGGCTTACAACGTACAGTCCAATGCGTTGGTAGATAGTGTTTATATTAGAGGTTGTATGCAGTGGCAAGAGAAAAAATGCAGAAAGCTAGAGAGATTTGTTTTGATTTGCATGCACCAGACGAACATGAGGACAATTGAGCTTGTATTGTTACACAGATTCAGATTTTCCCCCCAAGATTCTTTCTTCAAGGAAGAAAACTCCATGATAATACCTGGCTCTGTTCCAGGTTATTTCCTTTAAATTTCCTTAAAGTGAGCGCTAGTTTAGAAATCATTTCAAGTGCCACTCTCCTGATCCCTTTACATG